GCAGTGTCTCGTTCCCTACTCAGGGAACCATGGTTACATAAGTAACCTGAGACGTTCTTTTTAATTAGTTTAACAAAACTCAAATTGAATTCAGCTGGACACACTTTCCTGTTTATCCCAACAAATGGCCAAGCAAAGCGCACGACACTGACACGGTACGCCATACAGTACGAGACCAAATGCGATTTCAGCACGTCTCCACAGTAAACAAAACAAGCGTTTCCTAGCAACGACAACTGCGCTAAACACTGAGATAAGAAATAAATACACTTACAAGCTGCTTTTAACTTCTGCTGATTGACTGCTTCTCACAAAGACTATTTCTTTACACTGTTTTGCTGGCGCTTGAACACACTTTCCTGTTTATCCCAACAAATGGCCAAGCAAAGCGACGACACTGACAAGGTATGCGATACAGTACGAGACCAAACGCCATTTATAATATAGTATAGAAACTTACTGTTAACAGTTAACAGGTTTTAACTGTAGCATTTTTACAGTCTTTTACTGTTAAAATCACAATCATTTTTTTTACAGTGACAGTTTCTGTCACACAAACACATCAAAAAGATTATGAATTTTGTTTTTGCCAGGTGGAGTCAGTGCACGTGCCCTGACTGTATGTACAGGAAATTGTGTTCAGTTTTCGAAGATTTGTGGGGCACAGATGCCTGCAAACCCCAGAATTAGAACCTGTGGTGTGACTGTATCCCAGGTGGCTTTCCAAAAAAATTGCCCCTTTCATCTCCTCTTTAAATCCCGACAATTGCTAAAGTCAACCTCAAACAAGTCTTAATACCCAGCCCTAATGAGTTTGACGAACAGCGGCTCAGAGTAGAGTTTTTCAAGTCACAACATGAGCCAGACATTGTGGGAAATACCCAGCGCTCAACTGACAACTGACTTTTAGACTTCTATACTTCTTTCTCGCTTTGGCGTGGCTACACCTCTCTTTCTCCCCCCTCAAGGATCCTCACCAAACTTTTGTTCTCACAGTTTGTCTTTTTTCTTCCCTCCTTGCAGTATTTTCCTCTACTGCTTCTCTCCTGAGGTGATGTAGCATTGACTTCCTTCCTCAAAGAACTGGGGCCTCTGAGACAGAGATGGAGGAGACTCGTCTGTTTCCACTCACACACTTATACTAACACACAAACACACAATGCACACTCATTCTGTTTTAAACATGTCAACTGCTTTCCATCCGTCTTAGGCACACACAGCCTTGGAAATGTTCTTATCATTTGTGAAGAAGTTCAGCTGGGTCTAAAGGGATTCCTGAACTGAAGCCGCGGCTCAAACACGTAAATCTTTCCCCTCTTTTCCGCTCCTTCAAATCATTGACTGCAAAATACAACCCAGTCCAATTATTTCAGCGGGAGTGTGTG